TCCCAGTGTTTGACACCAACACCTGCCTGGATGCCCTTAAAGAGGTAAGTGAAACTACTATAAAATGTGCCCCAAATCAGTTTTTTGCTCCTTTCAACCAATAAATAGGTTTAATTGAAAACTTATTACAGGTTATTCATTTACCACGGTGAAGATATCAATGATACATTCCCCATGGTATCATCAAAAAGGAAGACCAGGCACAAGAATTACAAAAATTATATTCAAATTTAAGTTTGCTGTTGAAATTCTAAATGATGAAAATTAAGTTTGAAATTCTTCTGTATGATGTGTTCTTCTGGTGACCAATTATTCACCCAACAAATTGCTTGTTACAACAAGTAGATGGCCAGAGTTTACAAAGTACAGTTGAGCATTTTTACCAGTTTATTTTGATTGTTCATCTGTAAAAAAGAAAAACAACATCAAAACAAAACAAAAACGAAAGCTGGTTTTTAAAAAGAAAAATTAAAATGGCCGATAAGTTAAGTGTGAAACTCTATCATTACATCTGTTATCTAAAAATCTTCCCCCTTTGCAAATCAAATGCAAGATTCAACAAGCAATGGATGCAGAAACTGTAACACTTTTCCAATTACCATTTTTTGGTGAGCAGCCAAGGAGCTCAAGCCTCAGACACACTTGTATCTTTGGATTTATTCTTGGAACAATTCTGATGGCATCTGCTATGATTGGTGGCTTCAATATGTTTTCTTTCTGAGGGATATCCTTACTTTTACCTTCAAAGAGCTGCTGGCAAAGAAACAATAAACACAAGTTAATGAAGGTCAATAAACACATAATCAAAACTACATGAGACGTGTGAAAGATCGTGCACGAGCGCATTTAAAGGTGCCGGGTTGGTCATTAGTTTGGAATGAACTTCTGACCAAAACATTGCCTCTGTTTTTGTCGACAAAAACATACTAGGCAAAACTTGTCCTTTCATTCACAACGCTGAGAAAATATTGGGACCAAAGTGATCCATTAAGATCACCGATCACTTCACATGCACCTCCGCCAATGTAATCTATTGCGTAACTTGCACTTATTGCAAAAAGTTATACATTGGCAAAACAGGAAGACGACTGGGTGACCAATTCCGAGAACACCTTCACGATGTAGAAAGGAATGACAAAGATGCATCAAAACCAGTCGCTAGACACTTTAATTTACCTAATTATTCTAAACAACATATGGCACTCTGTGGTCTTTCCTTACATTTAGGCAACATAGAAAGCTGCAAAACTCTTGAACAAAAGTATCTTTCAAATCAGTACTCTTAATCCCACAGGTATCAACGAATGCTTTTCATTCCACTAATTTATTCATGTTTTTCTCATCGCCATGTTTCCACCAATGGTGTAGCTCCGCTTTCTGCATATAAACCCACACACAACCCAAAATTCCTCCATTCACTCTGATGAAGGGCTAATGCTCGAAATGTCAGCTTTTTTATTCATTACAGTGGCCAATTTACAAATTCAACCTAGTCGATATAACCAAGTTACCTTGTTACCCCCACCAATGCAGCACCACAGTTTCTTTAGAAACTTTCAGCCTTTATTCACTAAAAATGGTAGCATAGGCCAAGAAAAATATATCCAAGTACCAGTACTTAATATTATAACATTATTTCACTTGATCATTCTTTACATTGTTTGTTTAACACAGTTTCATGCAATCCTTTATTTATTGTGAAACAATAAACACTTCACTATCCCACACATGAATCAATAGCCATTAATACTGATTCTGGGTCATTAAAAGAAGATATCTTCAAAATATGCAACTATTACCAACCAGGAATTTCTCAGCTACTATAATTTCTATTTAGTTTCAAATAAACATTCTTTGTGTTATAAGTATCTGGTAGTTTATTGGCACATACCCTCACTTGATGAATGTTGCCCCCATTATACCAGACAGGTGTTCTTTTGCCTACTGGAGAATAAGTCACCCAGTACTTTTCTACACTTTCAAGTCCTCCATGTCGGCCCTGCGTCACAATGCCTTTGATTCGTAATGGAGTGTCAAACGCAATTTGTATGAACTCTCTCATAATTGGATCTGTCCGGTTGTCATATTCTTCTTGATCAGGGCACCACCCACCATATCCATCAGCATGATTCAATCTAGCATAGGTAGCTTTGGCCAGTGGTTTAAAGGAGCTGGCACGAATTTTTTCATCCTTGATACGACCATCTTCCATTCCCAAAGGCAACAAGCAATCTGCAGAAATAAAATAAAAAATGGTTACCGGGGTAGGACTTAAAGTCACCCACTGTGCCTACTCTTTTATTAGACCATGATAACACATTAAGAATAATGAACCTTTTTTCTATACTAGGTATAGGTGAAAATTCAAAGATATGTACCATTAAGTGATATAATTTCCTACTTTCTGGCTTTTGTCATTTTTACTGCAATGGCATTGACTACTGTGGTAATTTTTTTTCTTTATTTCCATTGCTCCAGAGAAGAATTAACTTCTAGCCACAAAGAAATTCAGCTTAGCAACTCTTGGATGGATAATTTTTCATATATGGTGATTGGGTACATGAGATAATAACCTGAATTGAGACAGCCAATCAAAACCCAAAAAATGCCCTATCCAAAGCTGAGAAACCAATCAAATATAATTAACCTGTCACTCCCAAGATGGATAATGTAGGGTGTGGTCAGTCCTAAGAGTGATAGGCTACATAAAAATTTAACTGACAAGACTAACCGGGAATTTACACTCTTGAAAAAATGTATGTACTGGTTACCTAGTAAACTCAACTACATGGGACTCAGATTTGGTTTTTGAAGTGCCTATTATATTAAACTTCCCTTTACTTTTGCTACAATAAAATTTTCATGCAGCAAAAAGTGCATCACTCTTGGCAAATCATTTTGAAGAAATGTCTTCATAAATATATATATATATATATAAAAAATTATTATACAAATGTGAAAGAAGGAAATTATTAGTAGTATACTATTATTATTATTATTATTATTATTACTATTATTATTATCTATATTATATATATATTAAAGGGCTCCATGTTTACTGAGTTTGAGCTTATTCATGAACCCCTTTCACAATACAAATGTAAGATGTGTTTTTATTCCTCAGGTCTGTGCGTAAAAGGATAAGGATGAACACTTATCACCCAAACACTGTGATAATCATATAATGCTTCCCACATGATGATACAATTTATCACTTAATCGAAAACAACTTTACTGATTTTCCTACCAAGATTAACTTCCAAAAATGAATAATGCACAATTTCTCTCTATAATATCCGTACATCAGACAGCAAACAGGTAATGAGAATACCTGTTTGCTGTCTGATGTTAGAACTTGCTGTCTGAGTTAGAACTTGCTGTCTGAGTTAGAACTTGTTATCTTGATCTAACACCATTTTCTTGTAAGTAATATTAAAGGAAATGTGTTGCAGCTGGAGGGGAGAATTGACAATTTGATCTGCAGAGTTAAAGGGCTAGAGCCAAACAAAAGTTTGAAAGTCTATGAGCATGATTCTTATTACAGACAAGTGCACCTCTGGAGAGATAGAATCAATAACAATCTCACTACCTTGTTGAAAGGATCATTTAGCAAAGACTGTTGACCCTCTAACTGCCATGAGTGACCCAGACAGAATCTCACCTTACAATGTCGATACTATATCAAGCAAATTGAGGTACGGGAATAATGAAAAAATAATAACAATTAGGGAATTGATAGTTGATCTGATACCAAATTCTCCAGATCAACATCATATATAATAAGGGCAGACAGTAAAGAGAATTACTAATCAGATATTAGGAGTACAAAGGTTAAGCCTGTTTACACACTCAAGAAGGTTGCATACCAATAACCCAAGTAAGTAATACCAGTCTATACTTGACTCATACTCAGTATGACTGGCAAATGGATTACACTGGGTGTAATGTCACAAGGGCTACTACTAGTAAGTAATACCAGTCTATACTTGACTCATACTCTGTATGACAGGCAAATGGATTACACTGGGTGTAATGTCACAAGGGCTACTACTAGTAAGTAATACCAGTCTATACTTGACTCATACTCAGTATGACAGGCAAATGGATTACACTGGGTGTAATGTCACAAGGGCTACTACTAGTAAGTAATACCAGTCTATACTTGACTCATACTC